GGCCCAGCCACACACTGGCAAGGCTGGCCCCCTGACTCCAGCAGAGGTAGCTCTGGACAGTGGTTCTGTCCAGTAGTCTCCCGTAAGATTTTAAAATAATAGGCTTTATGAGGATTTAACTAGAGATTGCATAGGGACTGCCTGTATATAGTAATACAGTGTTTGCACAATGTCTGAACTGCATGATGTCCTGTTTCACAGAATGTATTTGTGTACGTATATCTGTACTTTGTCTTATGCACTTTTGACAGTTACCGTATGTTTTTGGCAGCTGTAAATCTTTTTATAAGCTCTAGGATGTGGGGAAGGTATGTGTGTCCATGCTCACTCCTTATGCGAGTGTGTCCAGTGGGCATGGTGGGAACAGTTCCCTTTATTGTTCAAGCATGCTCTACTTTTCGTACACAAACTCAAGTCTTTGAACTCCTTTTCTAGGGAGTCCCTAGATGAGGCAAACTGTTAACATGCTTGGCTGCTAACTGAAAGGCTGGAGGTATGCCACCAGGTGTCTCAGAAGGAAGGCCTGGCAATCTACTGCTGCAAAATCAGCTACTGAAAACCCTGCGCAGCACAGGTCTGCCCAACGCACACGCAGTCTCTGTGAGCTGCAATCAGCTTGGCGGTAACGGGTTTGGTTTGGCATTTCCTGATATGACTTGTTAAGGATAACGGCCACCCTTCTTCGCCTGTCTGTACTCCTCAGTATCCTATTTTATGGATAGAGAACCATAAGCACTACTTCTTCCTAATTCAATTTAAGGGTCTAGGCTGGTGTCTCTGGATCAGCGACCAGCTGACAGCCCATGACCCAGGGTGGCTCCCACCCACACCCAGGCCTGTCATCTCAGAATCTGAACCTCCACTCGAGGATTCATAGCCATCCCGAGTGCCCACAACTGGTGGATGGCACACCAGTCACCTCTTTCAACTTCTCTCACTACCAAAGCCTACGTTTTCTGTAGGAAGAAATAGAGAAAACACTAGTGTTACCCTCCTAGAGCCAAACCATTTCTAAATTCTCAAACTCAACCTTTCCCTCAATCTCTGCTACCACTTTCTGGGGGCCAGGCCCGTCATCATCCACTCAAATCTCTGTGTCAGCCCATCCAGTTCCACTCTTGCCTATCTCTGTCAATCCAATCCATTCTGCAACCTTAACATTGGTGCCCCTCAATGTTGTAACACTGCACCCCTACCTAGTACCTAGTTCTTAAGCCGTATCTCACTCACCAAGCTCTAGCCACAACAAACTGCTCATTTCTCCACACTTTCTTCAGGACTGCTGTTACACCCGATGGGAGGCTCCCCTTCCTTCTCTTGATGGGGCCAGAGCCCCCTCAGCCCTGAGGTATTAGCTGCAGAGAACCTTTCAGGAGGACTCAGTCGGAAGCATGACTCCCGACCTTTATTTTCTGCATTGGTCTTTTGTTTGTTTCCTTAATGCAACATGTCATCACTTAGAATGTTCATCTGTTTGGTTATTTTTTTCCACCAGAAATACAATTTCCACAAGGACAGGGACCTCTTGTCATGCACTCTTCCATCCTTAGCAGGAAACACAACGCTTAGCACAAGCACACATTTAGTTTAGCAGGTATGTAATTCACGGGCGCCCACTTACTTTCTGGCTAGGTAACCTCTGCAAACAGCCTGGAAGAAGATGATGATATCAGTAATTTTTAAATCTCTTTCTTCCTCTAAGTGTGCCAAAACACCAGCTCTGAAAAATATCTTGCTCTGTCCAATCCTGTACAAGTTAGGGTCCAGTTCTAAAGCTCGGATCTAAGAGAGAAAGTGTCTGTTTATTTTGTGACTCGGGAAAGGCCCCGTCTGTCGTCCACAAATCAGAAAAAGCAACAAATACTTACCATTCGCTCACAAGCCTGTTTGCCATCCATAAATCCTTTAGGAATAGCATTTGGAGTTAGGATCTCATATCTGTAAAGAAAAAAGACATCCAATAAATCTTGTGCAGAAATGTGTGAACATGTTTATCTATTAATTCTGAGCCAATACAACTTAATTCAACTCAACTCACTGCCATGAGTCATTCTGACTCATAGCGATCTCCACTGGGTTTCCAAGGTTGTAAATCTTTATGGAAGCAGACTGCCTCATCTTTCTTCAGTGGAGCAGCTGGTGGGTTCAAACCACCGCCTTTTAGTTAGCAGCCAAACGCCTTAACCACTACACCATCAGAGCTCATTCTAGGAGACAGTAGGCAATAATACAACGATAAGTGGTACATGTTAAATTAAAAGGAAAGGAATGACCCGGACATAGGCTGAGGTTTTCTGCAGATCTAAGGAAGTGAAAATGAAAATGAGGCCACTTTGCTGGTCAAGGACTAGATTTAGGAGATCGTGGCAGAAAGAATCAAAAGCATGGTTACTTTAAAAGCCTTTGGTTTCTCTCCATTTCCCACAACAAAAAGTAAAACTCCACCAGACTTTTTCACACAGGAACCACACCGAGGAGGCTCTTGAAGACCCATCAGGCCAGGAGAGCTTCCCAGCTAGGTTCCATCTGGGACTGCGGGGGACAGGGCCATTCTTTGACCCGTGTCGCTGTGAGGTGCCACCAAGTCAATTCTGACTCAATGAGTCCCCACAGGCAGCCATATCTATTTCATAGAACAGTAAATACTGTCGTGTTGGGAAATCAGATTTCCAGGAGGAATAAGGAGAAAAAGCAAACCAAATGAACTATTCTGGAAATTATCCAGTAAACATGGAAACGCATCATTTCCCATCCATTTTTACTGCACTGCACATTGAACTTTTTCCTTTGTTATTCGCTATACTTTCCTTTCTAATCTACCTCAATGCCTATCTGTTTTAGTTAAAGAACATTAAGCGTGTATACACACACACATTGGAAAGCATGTGTACATACATACTTGTATACATCCATATGCAGATATATTCATTGAAAAAAGCTGGAAAGAAATATCCCAAAATGCTCTTAGGAGTCATTCCTGGATGATTTTTATTTACTTTTAACTTCTCTGTATTTTCAAATTTTCCTAAAAGGAATACACATTACTCATATGTGAAAAATAAGTTTTAAAAATAATTATGCTTTAATCTGAGGAAACTCTTCAGTTTTCCACTTTTTATCTTACAACTAACTCACCAGGGCCCCAAAGATGGGAAACAGCTCTCACATTTCTTTGAAGCACCCAGGACAGGTAGCACTCTACCTTTTTATTATCAGGTAGATAACTCAATATTCTCCAATATAAAGGTGATAATAATTATCCCTTTCCTATATGAAAAACTGAACCCATTCAGGAAATAAGGAAACATTTTTTCCTCATTCTCTTACTGTTCAGATTCATATTATTTGATACACACACACACATGCAAAGTACAAGTTAGAAAGAAACACCTCTGTCTGAATTCCTGGAAAACGATCCGGTTTGGGAAGCCCTGGCGGCAGATTCTGATCCCCTCCAGGACTCCATTGCAGCGAAGCTGATCCAGCACTAGATGTGGGTCCAGTTTTCCAGCCTAAGCGAGCAAACAATAGTTTTATGCTTTAATCTTCATAACCTGACACAGATCAGGTTCAACTACTAGTGTGTGTTGTGTTTAACACATACTCGCTTCTCATGATTCGGAATGATGCAGCGAACAAAGTTAGGGTTGGTGTTCCGAAGAGTGGCCATCAGCTTGGTGAGAGACTCTTTGTAGAGTTGTCCGACGGTACGGAACATGCCCTTCTTGGTTTTATATGCAGAGCCAAACGCAGTCTCGGTCATACCGGTGACTTGGTCCAGACCCACAATACGGTCCACTGGTGAAAACAAGGAAGCAAGGGGAAATCAGGCAAATCCACCTTCAGCACAGGGAAAGCGAAGACACAGTGATAGTGCAGCAGCACAAGCTTTGTGGGACAAATGATAGGAGGTGCCATATAGGTAAGGCAGTCGCAAATCGACACCGCACAAGCCGTGGAACTAACAGCCACACACTTATATGGCAGGGTACTGTAGTGCTCTGAGAACTTCAAACTACCACAAACTGCACTAGTGCAGGAACTCACTGTCTTTGCTGATACTCTGCCTGTTACAGATACAATTATTTGGTACTGGCAAGATCATCGGCTGGCATTACCGATACACAAACTGATACTGTTATTAAGTCTCAAAATATGATTCAGCTGTACAGTGCAAATACCCCTAATGCATAAGTTCGGGATTAGGGACCAGCGTTATCTTCTATTAGACATGAGATCTGTGGTAAGAAAAGTCCTTACAGTTTCAGGGACAAATGCAGGAGGGTTCACTGTGCCAGTTCACAAGCTTAGCAAAGAGTGAGCTGTCTCCTCAAAGCATGAAACTTACTAAAGGGTAAGAAAAAATCAGAAGGAGTCTTCTGAAAGATACAAACACCTGAACTTCCTAAGTGCAGGATGATGAAAGGTCTCAGACGTTACCTTCTCACTAGGTAAAGCAGCTAACATTTTACATTATCCACACAGACCTAGTACTTCTAATAATGAGATTATAAATATAAGCCCAGCCAGCAGCAAAACACTGAGTGCCTAATCTGTTCTCATTAAAAGCTTGTTAAATGACTGATAACACATTACTGAAGCGTTATTTAAACAATCAGAACTCTAACTGGCCTGCCCTTACTAATGCCTGCTTTATCCCAAGCACCACCTCCATCTCCTTCCCTTGTTCTTCACCACAGGGACCTGGCACTGTGTGGAGTGTGCTGTGTGAAGGTCTCACTTAACTTTGGATAGTTGGTGAAGTTTTGCCAGAGGAGAAAGCCATGACCCAGGGAGATACGTTAACTGCCCAAGTTACATGGGTATAAAATGAAAGTCAGGAGAGGGTGGAAGGAGCCTTTAGTTTCACAGCCCACACATGCACTGTTAGAATTCCTCCCAAGCTAAGCCGCAAGACTCAAGGGTTTAGGCCAAAGCTCATCCTTCTGCTTATGTTCTGGGGTCCATCATCAACTATCTACCTCAGAAACCACCCTTCTCATCTGTGCCCTTCCTTGCTCCAGCAAAGAACAGCACCAAATCCCACCTCTGCCTGACCTACAAAGAAATGAACCCTAACCCTACATCTGTCCACTTCTGTCTCATCAGAGCCAAGCTTCCCTCTAAAGGACTTCACACAGTCACCACTCCACTGATTTCCCAGTGTGCAGCTGGCTACCTGGCTTCTGCTCTGTCCTCCCCTGCCCACCACTACTCAGGCAATGACCTGTCAATTCCAAGACAACAGACACCATCGGGTTCTTATTTTCTTCACCACTTTATATTAACTGTTGACCATCACTTCAGCATTCTAAAAAACCCTCACCTCTTCTGGATTCTTTATGAACCTCACCTTGTCCTATTCTCCCAGCGACCTCTCTGGCTACCCCAGTCTCATATTCCTTGGGGACATCTCTTCTGCTTTTCTTGTACATGTTTGCACTCACTAAGGTACCAGACTCACCTGAAATCCTTTCTAGGATAAGGCAAGATACAAGTAAACCAAACTCACTGCCATGGAGTTGGATCTGACTCATAGTGACCCCTCCTTGGGTTTCTGAGGCAATATCACTGCTCAAGTACATTGCCCAACCTTCCTTCCGAGGAGTGGCTGGTGGGTTTGGACCGCCAGCCTTCTGGTTAGCAGTCAAATGCCTTAGGCACTACGCCACCAGAGCTCCTAAAATAGAAGTACAGACATACATTACCTAACCTTCTGCTTTTCTCAAGCCATAATCTCATCTTAGAGAATCTCAGTTATAAGTTTAACTAGACACACCTGACTACCCGGCACAGTCACCAAACACCTACAGTATATTCTCTACAAGGCATCTGCACCCAGAATCACACAAATGTGCCTGCTACCCACAAATTCTCATTACGTGCCCATCACGTCTGCTTCTACTCAACTCGACTTCATCCTCTCCATGTAGTATGTCTGGCACATAACAGATACTGAGACATATATGTTAGTGAATAAATGAAGTAAGCATTAAATACAATTATAATTACAAATAGTGAGAAATACAATGAAAGGAGAGGGCAGGGTGCTTTGGGAAAGATGGATTGTTAGGGAGCTCTCTGGAGAGATGACAGTTAATGCCCAAAGGATAAGAATGGACCGGTGGAAGGGAGGAAGCTCTGGTGGCATAGTGCCTAAGGCACTTGACTGCTAACAAGAAGGCTGGTGGTTCAAACTCACCAGCCACTCCTTGGAAGGAAGATGGGGCAATCTACTTCCATAGTGATACTGCCTTGGAAACCCAAGGAGAGGTCACTATGAGTGGGATCCGACTCGATGGCAGTGGGTTTGGTTTATGGTTAGTGGAGGGAAGGCCATTCCAAGCAATAGGAACAGCAGAGGCAGGAGAACATGAAAGAAGGCTAGTGCCAATAAAGTATCATGAGGAAGGGAGGAGTGTGAGTGACACAACAGCAGAATAAACAGGGTGAGGTGGCGCTGGGGCCTCACGGGTCATGCTGAGATTCTTATTTGACTCTCAGGGCGTTGAGAAGGTACAGAAACTCACACTGGCTGCTTGCTTGTTATATATAAAATAGAGAAGAGGTCAGAGAAGTAGAAGTGGGTGTCCACGGCAGTCACCCAGGTTCTACAACAGAACAACAGTTCTACAAGCAGCTTTAACTAGTGAAATTACAGAGGAGATGGGTAAAGAAGGCAGATCTAAGACATACTTTGGTGGAAGAATCAATGTGCTTTTCTGATTAATCCGGTATGGAGAATGATGGAGAGGGATATTTAAAGAACAGTGCCAGGATTCCGGCCTAAGAAGCAACTGAGTGGCTGATGGTTTTACTACAAACATGAGGAAGACGTGAAAGAATGGGTGGGAAGACAGAATGCAAGCTCTGCCTTCATTTGGGATGACCGTGGGACACCAAAGCAGAGGTACAATGTCAGGAAGATAGTCTGCTGCTCAGAAGAGAGGTCGGACTAGAAAAGTAAATTTGGGAGTTGTCAGTTTAAGGGTAGTATTTAACGTTATGGGACTGAATGAGACCACCTGTGGGAAGGGTAAAAAGGGATGAAGGGCTGGGACTAACCTCCAAAGGGCTCGGGAGAGAAGATGTTCCAGAAGGAAGATGAGAAACGGTCACAAACAGCAGGTAGAAGAGAAATGAGGACCAAAGGTCATTACCCTAAAATGGAGCCAAGTGTCCACCCCTGCCCCCCGTGCTGCTCCTCCCCCTACACTTCCCAGTCAAATGGGACCAACGGTTACTCCAGGCAGGAGTCAGCCTTGAGTCCGTCACATCCTGCTGTGCCTGGAGGTGCTCAAGCCAAACTTCCAAATGGCTTCAACACACCCCTTCTGCTCCCTGCCTTTGTTTGGGCTCTTAATTTTCTCACTGATTTGGCAATAACCTCCTAACTGCTTTCTCCCTCTGGCCTCAACACCCCCATTCCATCTTCTACTCTTGCTGCCCCAGTGGTCTTTCCATGATGCCTTTTGTCCCAGTGTAATTATTAACAGCACAGCAACCCCTTCGCTCTCAGAAATGTCCTAATTTGTGTAACTTATTTATTTCTATAGTTAACATCCTCCCATCTCTCCCCTCGCCTGCAAGGAGAAAAATTCAGCCCCACCAGTAAAGCACCCTGACAGAACGGGAGAATGGGAACCACCCGTTCTCAGGAGCGGCAAGGATTCCACTGCCTTGGTTTTGCAATATTTAGCCGGCAAGGGCAATTTTTAAACACAACTTGGTGTCAATGTCTAATGACGCAGTTTCTGTTTTTTGAGGGTAGGACTTTGAGGCAAGTTACCCAGGTTTGCCAAGTCTCAATTTCCTCCTCTGCAAAATGGAGCTAACATGACTTCCCTCATGGAGTTGTCAGGTGACTGAAAAAGTCAAGTGCTCAGTGAGCCACCTGGTTGGCCCCTTTCCCTCACTCACCTAAGCCCAGATGTTACAAACCAGGTGCATTTTCTCAAAGACATGAAGCCGTCACCTCTCTCTCCATTCTTTCCTCTGACCAATGCCCACCTACCTCCAGTTACCCTGGTACATTCTCAATCACTTTGAAAGCTCCATTCTTTTACTGAACTCCCTCAGAGAAATCTTCTTAGGTTCCAGTTTCCACCTGCCAATAAGATAATCCCTTGTCTAGGCTCCCAGTCATCCAGGACAGATCCCTTGGCACTGTCCTGAGGGTTTGGCCACTGGACTGAGAGTCCCCTCCATCCACACACGCAGAACCTTGAGGGTCCATCCCAACCTCCCTCTGGCCCTCTGACCACCAGCTCAGACAACCTGTGCTGAGCCAAGCACAGTACCTGGCACAAAGCAGCTGTTGAACAAACAACCACTGACTGAACACACAAACAAATCACCACCTCAACCAAAAAGAGCACGCTGTTTTCTTTGCAGGAATTCAGCTGCCTTGGTTTTGGACTACCTAGCTGGCAAGGCAGCGTTTAAACACAGCCTGTCTGATAATGCCGTTCCAAGCTGGGTCACTTCTTTCTGAGCTGAGTAGACAAAAATATAATCTTAATTAACTTGGTTTTCAAATAATTTTAATAAGGGAAACCCAAAGCTAAATACTCAGATTAAAAAAAATAATAATAAAAATAGTGCTTTAGACTTTCAGTTCTTTTTTCACTCAAAAATTTAATTTAGTTAGATTCTATAAAAGAGCAACATTATCTTGTGGGTAAAAAGAGAAACACCTGGGGAAAATCATTAAATAATTTAAGCTGTGCTAATAAAAAATAAAAAAATTAAGACCAAGAAAAACTTACATTTTAAGGAGTATTTTCTTATGAGAATGG